TCCCAAGTAAAGTTGGGGGGAGGGTCGTGCGGTGAGGCCTGGCTAGGAGCTTTAATAGCCTCCCTGTGATCAGATAAGAGTGAAAGAGCGGGCGTTTCCTTTTTACGCTCCTTTATAACAATATCGAAGGCAAGGGCCGTAATTGCATTATAACGAATTCGGCATCATTCTCATCGTCGTCATCCATGGAACGTTCAACTTTGTTTTTTATCTACGTTACCTTGGTTTTGTTGTTCCGAAACCGTATGTGGTTCTTATTTCATTGGCGGAGAACGTGCTCTAGGAGGGGAATGAATTGGCTAACGAAAGGCCGCCCAGCGGGGATTTCAGTCAATACCTTCTGCAGCTCAAAAGGTCCTACAGCAGATGTCAGATCTATTTTTATAAATGAGCTTGTGTTGGAAATGAACTTTGCAATTACCTGTTTTTATTATAAAAACAGTTTATGGAAACATTATGGAATGAAGTGGGGGGGGAGAGAATTGAAACTAGTCTGTGATCCTGAGTTGCCAATGGCATGGAACAATTTTTATTTGGGGTTAATTGGTAGATTTAATACACACACACCCCTAGGTATGTCAGATATAAATGAAGCTGCAACTTCAAATTATTGCTTTTGACAAGGATTTTCCACTCCTCTTTTCTTGTAAATCCATCTACTTCAGTATGAAGATACGTTATGGCTGTGGTCAATCCATCCTACTAAAGAACCCGATCTGAAGGTCACAATTTAACCCCGGGACAGGGTTGCTCTATTCAAACCTTAGTGGACTGGATATGAAAGGGAAATGTCTGCTAGTTCCCATCAGACAGTTGCATCTGAAGAGCCACCTAGTGTCAACTGTTAACAAGTTCAGCCACTCTGTAATTTTCCCAAAGGTGAAAGTTGCAAAGCTACTATAGAATCCATACTATTGGTGTTTAATTTATAGTAATTATGGTACGTCTTTGGTAAGTTAAGGTGGCTTTGCTAATTAAAATTCATGATTCCTGCAGGTATGTTCCATCACAGGCAGATGTTGCTGTATTTGAAGCAGTTGGTTCATCCCCTCCTCCTGAGTTATACCATGCCCTCCGGTGGTACAACCACATTAAATCTTATGAGAAACAAAAAGCAAGGTGAGGCTCATTTCTGCTATTTGCATTTCTGTTTCTGGTCTGCCTACAGTTTGTGTTTCAGATGAAGCTCAAAGAAATATAAAATATTCTTTTTTCAGAAATCTAGAGTTTGGGATATTTTTCCAATGGGGATATGGAAAATATTCTTTGCATAGGAAGCTGCCAAGGATGGCCCATGTTTCCAAAAAAGTAGATGTTGGACTGTTCTGGTCTAACTCAGAATAACAGGGCTATTTTAAGCCAGGCAGAAGTAGTTTGGGAGAGGAATGGGGAAAAGACCAGGGATGTTGGTGGCTAAGGGGAGAGAGAGAAGGGAAGAGTTGGGAAGATGGGGATTCCTTGGAGTGTATCATACTGAGATTGTGACAAGGGAGAAAAGGCATTGGAAGATAGGGGGTAGGCTATATGTTGTCCATCTCGCTATCAAAAATGATTCTGGGTGGAAGAAGGCACTGGAAAGATGGAGAGTTCCAAAGAAAAAGACGGCAACTTGCATGAACCTTGTCTGCTTGCTCACCTGAATATGTTTTACTCTGAACAAAATGAAACTTAAACGTTTCCCACTTTTGTACAGTAGCCATTAATATAAAATTCACCATTCTGTATTTCTAAGAAAGTAAGCTCTCTATATTAGTATTTGTATAACTGGGTAGTTTTAAATTTGTAATTCACTTTTCCTGATGAATGTCATTGAACAAATTGTATTATAAACTTGCAGGTAGTCCTTAGTTGGGATCAGAATTTCTGTTGTAAGTTGTTGCAGTCATAAGTCATCACATGACTTAGTTTTACAACTATTTTTTCAGTGGTCATAAATTGAATCACTAGTTGCAAGTATGAATCCAACTTAACCAATGTCATTTTTTGCCAAAACCCAGCAAAAAACATAATTGCAAACTAGCTGTCAATGCCTGAATTGTAATCACATAATTACAGGAGTAGGGTGACAGTTGTAACTTCAAATTTAGATAAGTGACTTTCTTGGAGGCTGTTGTTAATCAAATAGTTACAAGTCAAGGACTACCTATACAAGAGATGGAATGTTTACACTTTAAAATGAGCTTTCATAATCCACATAATCTAAATCTTATCCAAGTAGATTTAGAAAATTCCCAATTTCAGAAAATGTTATTTAATCTGATTTTATATTTAGTAATAAATAAAAACCTCTGAAGACACTTACTGGCATTGTTAGCTGAATCAGTGACAGCAAGTCTCCCTTATTGATGCTCAGACCTGTGCTGGAGATACCTTATAAGTAACATTTAAATTGCAATTTGCCTGCAGGGCATCAGGTGCCTATGAAGTTGGCATCTAGTATCTTACCTTTGAAATTTCAATATGTTTAAAGACAGCTGTTAATTGGTTGGCAAAGGGAGGCTGCACTTCTACAGCTTTATTCTGGACAACACTGAAGTAACAGGAATGTACAGTCAACAATTAAATGCTGTCTGTTTTCTAGTCTGCCTGGTGTGAAGAAAGCTTTGGGAAAATATGGCCCTGCAGATGTTGAAGACAGTACAGGCACAGGTGGAGATAACAAAGATGACGATGACATTGACCTTTTTGGTTCTGATGAAGATGAGGTATCCCAAACTTCTTCCTGTTAATTTTGTGTGGCGCTTACATAAAAAGCAGCATGAAATTAATTGAATTATGTAATAGAATATAATGCAGTTCAGATTAAACAGTTAAAACACTGTGTGAGACACTATCTACAATACTGCCCAATTGGGCTAGCTTGCACATCACAGTATTGTAATGGAATATATTTAGCTTCTCAGTTGAAGGATTTCAGTGTTCCTTCAGAGGTTACCCAGCTTATTATTTTCTGTTTGCCATTACAATCACATCTAATCCTAATTCATATCAGCCCCATGTGTGAAGCAAGGTACACAGTTGATTTGGAATTCTTTTCAACTGGTTGGTGGTCTGAAGGAGGAACAGTTGTGTGTAAAATCTATTGCATTGAAAGATCATTTTAAATGAGAGCAAACCCTATTTCCTATTAGCAATGATGATGCTAGTAGTGTAGTGATACCTCTGCAAGAAAACAGAAGCTCAGAGAGCACAAACGACCACATAGTTACAAATGCTCTCTTCTATAGAAGGATCATTCTCTTGATAGAGAGAATTGGCTGCCAACATGAAATTCTGCAGAGATGATGTGTGAGGAAAAACGTTTCACTTCAAGAGCCAAATGGCTCCTAATAACTATCTCAGTTATTTAGGAAAAAATGTAACTTTTTCATCTTGCGATCGAAGCCATGACCAATATAAATTATCTCACATAACCGAGGCTTGCTTTTTCTAAGCAGCATGAACCCCCAATAGAGCCAGGTCATTCCTTCATTTAACTGAGAGTGAGGGCACTGGAGCAAATGGACACATGGTTTCTTTAAAAACTGACAAACTAAATCACTTAGTTTAGAGATAAACACACTACAGAGTCCACTTGGAGCTGGAGATGAGGGTAGCAGAGAAGACTTAGTAACTTGGTTATTATCTGGCAAATTTGGCCTACAGTTTTGAACCAAGTCTGTTTATATTATTGAGATTCTTTTCAGATCCTATATCTTGCAAAGGGATATGAAATTTGGAAAGAAATTAGTGTTGCTAGTTTTTTAATCATTCCTAACAATAAACATTGAACTGGCCCTGTTATTTATTTATTATTAATTTATTAATAAAATTTATATGCCGCTCTATATCCGAGGACTCAGGGCAGCTCACAACAATAAAACAACCAGTTAAAATTATAAAATACATAATGTACGTATAAAATTTATATTAAAACCCCCAAAATCTAAAAACCCTCTCAGTCCAGGCTGGGTCCTAAGAGGTCCAGCCTCTCAGTTATTGCTTTATGGTCATTAAAAAAATTTAGTAATTATATACTAAATGTAAATATTGTATACTTCGGTCCAATACAACCAAGAAGGTAGCTTTGCAGTTGTATCTCAGATATACTTGAGTGTTTAAACCAATATCATTTGGGATTTAAACAAGGATGTGAAATTAAAATTTGTTTAGTGAATGAAAAGGGAAAGTTGGAATGTGGTTTTATTCTTTTGGAACTTTCTGTGGCCTTCAATGCAATTTGACCATCGTGTCTTTTGGGGTTACCTGATAAATCTGGGTCTTAGTAATCGTTGTAGTTGTTAGAATTTTGTTTTATCCAGAATAGAGACTATTTTTTCTTATATCTCAATAAAAGGATAATGCTCACATTGAGAATTATTTTAGATTCTAAGCTGTTCCTTCACTACAAAATAGTGGCAGAGATGAGTGCATTTGAACAATAATTTGTGGTAATAGCTGGTTCCAAGTGATCATATTGGGCAACAGTTTTTCCCTAATAGGTGATTTCAGACGATGAAAAATAATCCCTTGAACTTTGCAAAATAATTCAATCTTTTATTTAGCCATTTAATTGATGGGTTGTGTTGTAACTTAAGATTTGCAATTATGTTAATTTTACCTTATTTTTGAATTTATTGTATCTTAATGTTAGCCTTTTTTGTGTGTGTGCTATATTTTAGTGGAAACACTTGGTATAAACCTAAGAAATCATTCGATAATGCTTTACTCTGTAAAACCATGGTACATAGCACAATCTATCCAACCTTCACTGACTTTGAAAAAAGCAAGTAAGCTTAAATCACAGTAAATTTTGAATGGATGACTGGGAAAGCCCAGTAGTAGTCTAGACTGGGAAAACAAATAAAAAAGGTTCTAGAAGATAGCAGTCACAAAGCACTTTTGTGTTTTTGTCAGACACTTGAGGGGAAGCTTTACCTTATATTCTGTAATGCATATTAAAGTCGTCTGTAGATGGTGTTTTAAAATTAAAATCTCATCTCATTTTTCAAAGCTTTGAATTGGTGACATGATGAATAAAACCAAATCACCATCTTTCGTCTGAAATTATGATGATTTGTTTTTCTGAAAGATCCAGTTGAGTTTGAGCTTGATAAGGAAATAATTGCTTTATTTTATTTAACTTCGTTTTTTCATTTCTTCAGGAAAGTGAAGAAGCAAAAAAGTTAAGGGAGGAACGGCTTGCTCAGTATGAATCAAAGAAGTCCAAAAGTAAGTTATTAGTCCTGCAGCACTCCTTAAATTTACTCAGTCTGAATTATTTCCTAGATTAACTGTAATCTGTCTAAACTCACTCGTATAAGTATTACAGATATATTTCTTATTACAGGTATTGCTTTGATTTAAAGTGTCATTACAGTTCAAATGTCTGAATACAGGTGAAGATAAATTCACAGGACTATAGAAGTAGTATAACATCCTGCTTAAATTATGTGTTTTTCTGTCAATGGTGAAATACTGATTTCATAGCAAATATGTGATTCCACAGGTACTGGCCTGAAACTGTTCTGTACTGTAGCAGTTGCAGTATTCCGACTGTGGGAAAATAGCTGTTACGCTTGCAGAATGCTCCTTTCCTGACCAGGAGAAGAGAGTTTTGGTGTAACAAACAATATCATATCTTGTATTCTTCTCCTATGCTGATTAAATTTAATCTTATTTTGCAGTTTACAAGTTTTAAACATTTAGTGCGTAATACTTTTAGCTTTTTTCTAAGTAGAAACAGCATTTGTAAGGAAATTTGTTACAATAGAGTTGCTATGATGATGTTATCCATTTAGTCATGTCTGACTCTTGGCAATTCTCTGGACCAGGTCTCTCCACATCTTCCAATCTTGCACTACTTTGGCAATTGCTATAACTTCTTGAAATTATGTAAAACAACCTGCTTTTATTGAGTTATTCTTTGGTTTCTCTAGAACCAGCACTGGTTGCCAAGTCATCCCTTTTATTAGATGTAAAACCTTGGGACGATGAGACAGATATGTCCAAATTGGAGGAGTGTGTCCGAAGCATTCATGCTGATGGCTTAGTGTGGGGATCTTGTAAGTAACTGGTTGGAGATAGAAAAATTATGACTTACTACTTTTAGAGTACACTTCACGTGCATAAAATCTATGTATAGTTGAATTGCTTCTTAAATCATGTCCCCAAAAATTCATAGAGTTTATTGTTTCCATTTCCCAAAATCATGGGCTTTTTGTTGAGAACTTCCAACTAGTGTAGTAGGGCCAGTCAAATTCCTTACTGAGTACCCCAAAATGGAATTTTGGCTGTGTTGTGGACTAATAGTATTTAGACTTATATACCACCAATAGTGCTTCACAGCACTCACTGGGTGGTTTATAATGTCAGCATTATTTGCATATTGCCCCTAACAATCTGGGTCTTCATTTCATTGACCTCAGAAGGATGGAAGTCCTTGAGTCTTGTCAAAATCGAACTCAGGCTTTGGGGAAAGTTTGCCTGCAGTATTGTATTCTAACCACTGCGCCACCAGGGCTCCTAGACTAGGTCATTGAATTATTATGGCCCCTGTAATTTACAGTACCTTATCACATCCTCTATTTGAGAGTCTTGAGATGCATATAGAGGTGAATTATTTTTCCCTATAGAACCTCTTAAGTAAAAGTTCTCTTTGCACCTGATAGGCGGATGTATGTGGACTAACATTTTCTTCATCACTCCATTGTTTTTGCACAACATATATATCCACTGACATGGAAACAGCTTTTAAATTTACCAAACTTTCTTACCTTCTTGCAAACAACAATGTCATTAGCACATTACTTTAAACTGGGTTTATTACTTATTGCTGCTCCTGCATATGATAGTCTTCAATGCACTTACGTTTACTGAAAGGTTCCAATAGGGAAAATTACCTAGGTTTACTACAGCATTTGAAACTTAAATGATGAATGTTGTAGGACAAAGGTTATGTCTGCAACATTCATCATTTATAGCAATAAAGTATTGCCATAAATCAGTTTGGTGTCACTTGTCCAGACTGACACATTTTATTAAAGACATAACTAAATAGAGCGCTACTAGAATCCTCCTATAAAATGAATGGCAGGGACTATCTAATTTTCCCCCTTTTAAATTCACTTCTTGGTTGCTGTACTTCAGAGGGAGTCCCTATATGAGGGGAGCTGTAATTCAAGTTCCTAAATGCTTGCTTCTACACATTATCCACACTGAATATCTATTAAAGGGGATAAACATATAGAGTAGATTATCTGTTTTAACAGTTGTTTTATTATCTTTCTAGCCAAACTAGTTCCAGTTGGTTATGGAATAAAGAAACTTCAAATTCAGTGTGTAGTTGAAGATGATAAAGTTGGAACTGATATGTTGGAAGAGAAGATCACTGCATTCGAAGATTATGTACAATCAATGGATGTGGCAGCGTTCAACAAAATTTAAGTTGTAGCTTCTGGAATAAAAATATTGCAGCAGAAATGTTGTGATTTATTGTCTTCAGCTATTTGATTTTTAAAAAATGGAGTTTTCAATTGAAGTTTGTAGGCTAAAAGGAAATACTGTAATTTGAATTCTTCGCTTCAGAGATAGAAGGTGGTTCTACCATAGACCCCCTCTTATCTTGGGAGGAATTCCAAGTTGTGATAAATAGTTCTTTACCTGACATAGTGGGTTGCTCTGACATTGAAAGCACTGAAATGGAGGAGTTTAAAAAGTTAGATGGGTAAACCAGAGGATGGCTTATTTTATAAGACTCTCCTCAAATTTAATGGTGTGTATAAACTATCTAAGGAGAATTCACTTAAACCCACCATACACGTAAACAAATGGATCATCAGATTAATCAAGGCAAAAATACTTCTAGTTCATAGATAAAGGTTGGATAAGATGCCCAAAAGATGCCCTTAGTAGTATAAGATTGGTCTATCTGACCTGCTAAATATGTCAAATGCATTCATTGAGTGATCTTGGATCACATGAGATCTCAAATGCCTTTATGTAGTAAATGTGTTGTCATCTTCATCATGATTCTGAAAGCTCAATAATTATCAGGACACAGACACATGAACACCTCAGCCCCACAAGCTATCATAAGTGTAGTTATCGTCTTCTATGCTGTTGATAGGTACCTTTAGAGTTTTTGACTTGGAATGCATTTGAAAAACTGATGGAAGGCTGGTTGGTTGGCTGCTTCTGCTTTTATAATGGTGTTTGTTCATCTTTGTCTTTTGAGCATTGCATCCATTTATGTCTCTGTCCATGGAACCTTTGAGGGTTTTTTTAAAATGCTTTACTAGTTGGCTTCCTAATCTTAGGGTTGTATGCTCTTTTGGATCTTGCTGAAGCAGTTTGTGGTATGCTTTGGTGCAAAGGTATGTTTGAAAGTGTTGCTTTGAGATCTGTTTACTGCATTACTTCAGTCTATCCCTTTGGCACTGAAAGTGCAAAAAAGATTGTTTTCTGAGCAAGGATGCAAATATGACTCAAGATTACTTCTTTGTTCTGTTAATGTACTTTACATTTAAGATGTAAATGTTGGCATCCAGACAGGCAAGGATTGATTTGAATTTGGTCCTTGTGTGGGCCTCACTCCTGAGCAGCCTCTCTCTCTCTTGCCCCCCTTCCCCAATGCAGAAAATCTCCACTGCAGATGAATCTTGTAGTGAAGGAGAAATCCATATTTCTTATTCTTTTGGGGTAAGGTTGGGCATAGGCAAAATATTCTAAAACAGTTTTAAAAGCAATTTAATGGACTGACTGGAATTGAATACTTTCTGCCCGGATGTCTTAGTCTCTAGAGGATGCAACTGACTGGAAAGGACTTTTCTCTCTTTTGAAAAAGACTCAAAACCCAGACATTCTACTAGTAATCTATGTTCCCTTCATTTAGCATAAAGTAAACACAGAGCAAATAATATTGTACTACTGAGTTCAAGGAAAGCTAGAGCTAGAAAATGTGGGCAACAAAGCTCCAGATAAGTGCTAGGTGATGGCAACCTATAGAGCTTTCTATATCTTTCCTGCTGATACTGGCTGCCTGGATTTGTGTGCAAGCCCCCAGGGCTGGGGTCTGCAACAAACACTCAAAAGAGCCATTTGGACCTGTTTCCCACAGAAAAGAATATACGGGGAGCCACAAAACCTGGGTGGGTGTGGCAAGCTTGATGTCACTCCCACCCAGTCACATGACCACCCCTCTAGTCACGCTTACCCAGCCATTAAAAAACACTGGGAACCACAAAACCCTTTTGACATCTCTCTCCCTCTCCCCACTCGCCCTCTCTGTCCCTCCCTCTCTTCCCATCTCTGTATCTCTATCCCCCTTCTCTCTCTCTGTCTCTGTCTGTCCCCCCTCTCTCTATCTCTCTCCCTCTCTATGCCTCTGTCTCCCCCTTCTCTCTCTCTGTGCCTATGTGTGTCTCTCCCCTCCTCTTTCTTCCCCCGCTCTCCGGGGTTAGCCCGCTTTTCCCACTCCCCTGAGCTTCACTCCTCCAGCGGAGTGGTGCTGCAAGCCAGTGTCTCCGAGTAGAGAGCAGATTGCGTATCTCCCCAAGCGACTGAGGCACACCCAACACCAACAAGGGCCAGAAGAAGCTCCAGCAAGAGTGAGGCGCTGGAAAATCAGCCCTGACCGCTTCTCCATCCCCCACCGTCGCCCTTACCTTCTCAGGCTAGGCAAGGAGTGACTGGGAGGGGAGAGCGAGTGGCAGGACCAGCCAGTGGTGGGATCACCTGATGGAGCCACAGTAGAGGGCCCAAAGAGCCAACACCCACGCCAGGGCAAAACACAAATCCTGTTTCAAGTTTTGTTTTGATGAAATTCAGAACACGCATAATTGGCTCACATTTTTTTCTGCCAAGCCAATCTGAATCATTTTGCTGAAACACTTAGGATGAAGTGCTTTGCAATCAAAAAAACATTTTCTGTTTTATGCAGCCCTGCATTCCATTTTACAGTTTTGGCTTAAAAATAACTTGCTGTATAATTTTCCCCACACACAAGTCTACATGGTTACTTAGCTGTCCCTTCTATTTCAGGATAGGTAGAAATTATATTAAATTACCTACTTCTGGACATTTAGCAAGAAATTCAA